ACTAACAAGTAGTTCCCTAATAAGGCTTGGCTGTGTGTTCCCCAGTAGGTACTGGTTAACTACCCATTAGCTCCTGGTTCGTTCCTGAGGCGTTCCCTATCTATGCAAATTTTGTGTAAGTTATTGTAAAGTGTTACCGCCGAAACAGGGATGCTGCCATGCGTGTATCAAATTCAGCCTCTTTCTTTTACTGTCTGTACTTGTACTGAGATTTGTGTGTAGACAAGTTAAATAAAAGATTAAAAACAAAATGAGGTATTTGACAACTGTTTGATAAAGTTTTGAGCAACTTTTTAATGTGCTCAACTCATGGCTGCTGAGGTAAACACACCTGGATCTATCAGATCATCCTCAAACATGTTTTTAGCTCTCTGGACTCCAACCCTGGATCCATGTCCATCCCTGAATGGGTCCAATGTGATCCACAGAACTTGGGTTTAGTTGAAGCTGGCTAACTTATGAATCACTTAACCTAACACTGGGACTAACCATGTGAGTGATTAAAGTTAAATAGAAATACTTTCCGGCATTCACTCAGGTTGAGAGTTAAGAGTTAGTAAGCCAAATGAATTGTGATGGTTCACCCTGGAATAACAGTTTTACTTATTTGCATGCAAACCACAGCTTGTAATCTTGAACGTTCAGCCCCAGAAGGAGCTGCTTTATTATCAAGATTCATTCTCTTACTGTTCAACATCACCCCCCACCCCCCATCACAGATCGTAAAGCAGAAAATATATTATCAAAAACTATATTGTGTAGTTAGCATAGAAACATAAGCTTGATGAAACAGTGACTGGATTTGATGCTGTAAATAAAACCAGTTGTTCCAGAGTGAAATAATCATTTTTCTTTGAAAGTTTAATTTGAGTTAGTCTGGTTAGAAGAGCAGAGTTAGGCAATCGGGGCCCAGCAGTGAAATCCCCTGCAGATCAGAGTTTAATGGGGACAAACGTCCCCTCCCCTTACCCTCCATCTCCACACTGATTGGCTCTGAGTCAGGTGACCCTTGTTCCCCCACAGGGGGAAGGCGATCAGGACCTGTACCTCTTTCAGAGTCACCTGCCTCCTTTGGGAATGCCGCCCCATGGCGGGTAGTGCTGGCGCTTGTGGGGGTGGTCTTCCCTGTGGTTGTGGTGAAGAGGGAGCAGGAGGGGAGGGCAACAGAGCGAGTGATTAGTGAATGTGAATCAGTGCGGAGAATCAATTTCAGAGAAATGAGGATGAGTTCCGAGCGGAGGAAACCCTCGTAGTTGTTACATAAAGACCTTGTGATGATGAACACATGGAGCAGCCGTTACAGAGGTCATATTTTACAGTCGCTCTCTTACCTTCAGTGTCTTTTAATGGCTGTTTGCACACGTCTGCAGGTTCACCAAGACTAGCACTAAAGTGAACTATTCTTTCATATGAAAAACCTTACTACCATATTTTATAGACTATAGGTCACACATTTTTTCCCATAGGTTGGCCAGTCCTGCGACGTTTAGTCCGAAGTGACTTATTTACATTTTATTCCCAATTCATGATGCAATTTTTGACTGATGCGTTAACTGTTCATTCATACTGACATGAATCAAAGAGTAAACATTACCATTTGCAGCCGCAAAACGCTAAGTTTTTGACAACTACCGTATTTTCCGCCGTACACATCGCACGGCTGTATAAGTCGCATCAGTCCAAATATGTCTAATAAAATGGAAAAATCCATAAATATGTCACTTCGCCGTATATGTTGCATCTATTACACGTCACCGCTGACGATCTGTAAATGTGGGCTGAACCTAGAAATGTGGGTCTGTGTTGTGCCAAAAATCGATTGGCTGCCAAATGGCGGCCATGGGGACGTGCACAGGAGGAATTTAACAAGAATTTAACAAGATTAACACTTAAAAACAATTATTTGCTTGAAATTATAGCAAAGGTGTGTCTCGGTCTAACTTTTCCTTAATAAATGCGCTTTGACGGTCAAATCAGCTGCATTTTCAAAAGCCAATACGCGGAAACATGAATGTGCAGAGGGCGACTCTGTCCATTTCTTTAAAATTTAACAAGATAACCGCCTAAAACAATTATTTGTTTGCTCGACTTTATAGTAAAGGTGCGTCTCATTTGTACCTTTACTTAATAAATGCGCTTTGACGGTCAAATCTGCTGTATTTTGCCTGAGGAGCGCAACGAAATGAAGCTGATTTGGTTGCTCCAGGCAGACGACTGTGGCAAGCCGATTGTGTCATTAATAGCCACTTTCACCTATTATATGATACAACGGCATGCCATACTACTTGAGTGCCATGGTAGTGTTCAATTTTTTTTTCTCAGTCAGAATGAATGAAAACGATCATATCTCAGATAAAAATTGGTTTATAAATATGGGAAAAAATCCATAAATAAGTCGCTTCGGCGTACAAGTCGCAGGGCATGCAAATTATGCAAAAAACTGTGAAGTATAGGGCAAAAAATATGGTATATGTTGTTCCTCTACCGCTAACCCCCCGCCCAAACTTTCACTTAAAGACAACTGAGAAAAACTTAACACAAGTAAAATGCCCCCAAAAGGCAGAGTTGTTCAGAAGCGACACCGAGGATGAAGAATTCAATGGATTCAGCGACGTGGAATGAGATTGGTGAATTTACCGGTAACTTGCTTGTCAGACCCGTTGGCTTGTTGTGTTAATTAAGCCTGTTCAGGATCCCAGGTATGTTCTGTGTGTTATTGTTATTTCAGATTAAATGTCTGTTCTTGCACTTTGTGAAAAAACACTTCTGAATAAATGCGACCTATACTCCGGAACGACGTGTAGTCCGAAAAATACGATAGTTAGTTGTTCACCAGTTTGTAATCCAGGATGGTCTTCAGTTACATAACACCACTACTATAACAAATATATCAGCTCAATGACCAGTTTATGAAAACCTTCAGAGCGTGAAGCTATTTTCCACATCAGCTGGCCAGTTAAAGCAGATGGGGTGTTTTGGAAGACGTGGCTTCAACAGGCACGGAGTTATTAAGAGCTTTTGAACATGAAAGGATGTCAATGATTCCTTCTGAACCCCTAAAACTCATTTCCAAACCTGAGAATGAGCACAGTGCAGGTTCTTCAATACTTCAATACATTTACTTCTACGTGCATAAACAATCAAATTGAAAGTTTTCAAGTTTACCCCGTGCTTAAACCCTCACTACATCTAACAAGCTGAGTTTTGGGCATTTTTCACATTTAGCATATTAAAATAAACTATTTTGATCTTTAATGTTTTATTGCATTCTAAAAGGTATTTAACTGGGGTGCACCTGTTGGTGACGTACAGTTGTGAGACAAAAGATTTCTGACAGTTTCACTGAATTCTGCCCGTCTGTAAGCCTCGAGACAGAGTTTTGAGCAGCCACTTTTTTAAAATCACGGCCTAACTTTGCGTGCACGATTTGCACAATGGGACTTTACTTGGCTGACCACCTCCATCTACATCATACCTGCCTTTGCTTACCATTTACCAACCTTGGCAGCTGGACCCACATTCATGACTTCATCTGCTTGACACTTCTGAAATGGATAGGCAGGTTTGAACCATTATTGTGTGAAAGCTCATTAAGCATTCACACTATTGTGATCCTGTTTATATTTCTTATAGTTACTATACTTCTTCCGTACCTTTTTCCTTCAATTTCTCATTCCACAATTTTTGTGCTATTTCAACAAATCATATATCAAAACGTTCAGCTCCTTCAGGAGAAGGGTGCTATGACTTTTAGCATTGGTTCAACTTTAGCTCTTTTTAAATATTTAGCCTTTTCTGCCACTTTTTTTTCTCTCAAAGAAACTGAGCTCATTTTACATCCTTCAAACCTTTAGATCTGTTTACAACCTTTTACTGCTCCTTTCATATTTTGTTCTGGTTCAGCTTCTTTCAGCTTCCTTGTGTAAATTTAAAAAAATCAGCTAAGCTGATGTCAACTGTTCTTCAGTTGTTTGGTGCTACTTTCAGCTTTACTTTGCCAACTTCAACATTTCTGTGCTTCATCTAACTTCTTTCTTCTAATTTCAGCTTGTTCTGCTCTTTTCAGCTTATTTCTGCAAGTTTTAGCTATTTCAGCTACTATTTAGCTGATTTTATGCTAATTTTAGCTTTTTCAGCTAATTTCACATTTTTGTACTCATTTTTCAGCCTAATTCAGCAAAAATGTGCTCTCTCCACTTGCTTCTGGTAATTTTAACTTCTGCTTTTTTAGCTACTATTCAGCAAGGTTTTTTTTTTTTTTTTCAGATTTCTGATTTTTTCAGACTATTTACATTTTTTGCGCTTATTTCTGCTTCTTTCAACTTAATTGGGCACGATTGTGTTCTCTCAACTTCATTTTGGTAGTTTAAGCTTCTTTCTGCTTTTTCAGATACTTTTCAGCTTTTTTGTTGTTGCTAATTTTTGCTTTAAAAAAAAACAAACAATTATCTAATTTTTGTGCTCATTTCTGCTTATCTGCTTCCCAAATTCAGCAAATGTGTCCTCTTTTTTCTGCTAAATTGAGCTTGCTCTTCAATTTCAGCTACAATTCAACTTTTTTTTTTAGCTCATTTCAGCAGTTTTTCAGCAATAAGCATTCACACTGCATTTTCGGAGGAAATGCAATTTCTCTAGTTTATCATTGGTGTGGTTTTCAGACCTGAACATTCAGGACTAGAGTCTCAGATGTTTTCTGTCACAAAATAAAGCTCGGATAACTCTAAAATTTACGAAGATTAAATCAAGGCTTTGAGACACGTTTAAGATGTCGGTGACATTTCTGTCTATATTGAAAGAAAATTTGTTGCACAGATCTTTGGAACATGTTCAAAATTCAATCATCCAGACTGCAAGCCACGGCAACTCACACGAGGAAACTGAGAACCCCTGCAAACACTTCGAGACATTTTGGAGATAGTGAGCTGCTCTGATTTGCGGGAGTGCAAACGACTACAATTAAAACTCAACACTTGCTGTGGTGAATTCCCTCATGTGGACACAGAGACTGCGGTCTGGTTAGGGAAAGTGTTGATCCCTTTTTCTTATCCACCGCTTCACCCAAGCACACAACAAACAATTAATTTTGTGGCCAAACAGCAAGCATCATTACAGTTAGAATCACTACAAACGTATGCCAGAGAACATGCTGGGCACTGGCTGCCTCGGGCCGTGTATTATCAGACATATTTGTCTCGATGACACACCACTTCTTGACTGTGCGATGAGCTCTCTGTTGTCCTTAAACTACGGTGAGCATCATGTCGTTATTGGCTCGGATTAACTTACTAATAAGCCAACCATAATGTCGGCATTCTGCAGCGCTCGCGCTCAGGCCAGAGGAAAAGTGCCTGTTTTTTCTGCACACTGTTGACGGTGTTGACTCTGAATGAGGTGTCCTGTCACTTCACCATCTGCGCCAGGCCAATAAAAACTGTACACCATGGGGCGTTTGGCCCTGGCACTCAAAAACTAATGAAATAAATAAATAAAAATCCATGGCTTCAACATTATCTTCACTCTTTCGGTTTATGCATAATTATTTTTATTCATACGATTTATCTTTGTAAATAAAACAACACGTTGAAGACGCTCGTCTCGCACTATTTCCTCTGCTTGCTGTGACTGTGTGGGTGACAAAAACGTGAAAAAAGGAAAGAAATGGCCGTTGCATAAGGCGTTTTATTTAAAATGGAAACAGCCCCTTGTGACAACAGCTTTGTTCCACATATGGGGTGTTTTATTGTTTAGAAAAGCTGATAATTGATCTTTTGTGGGGAGACTTAAAGGGCATCTTGTGTGAATCAGTGCAGAAAATAAAACAAAATACTAGGATTTGACTAAATGTTGAGAATTCAAACAGTGCAAGTAGGCCTGTCATGATAACAAATTTTACTGGGCGATTATTTGTCTCAGAAATTATTGCGATAAACGATAATATTGTTTGAAATTTGACAATAATTAGTAATTATTGTCAAATTTAAGAAGAAATGTTGGTTAATTTTATTTTGCGTGTAGTACCTTTTTTGAACACCGGATTGTAGTATAAGACTGAACCGAAGGATGGATAGTGAGAGAGCGAACAGCGTGTCTCTTTAAGAAAAATGGGAGGGAGGCCCTTTGACGTGACATGGGCTGTCTCTCCTTCCTGTTTTTCCAGTTCTCAAATTGGCGGACGCTCGGTGTGGTTTGAGCTCTTTAGCATAGCATTTTTCACACAAAGCTTTTAATAAAAAAAAAAAAAATTAAATCAGTAAAGTGAAGTGAAGAGCACTGGAGTTGAGCCGTGTCTTCAGTAGAAAGAGAGAGACATGGAGAAACAATAAAGCCGATAAATGAAAATGTGGTTGATAATTTTCATTTATCATGTGATTAATTGATTTATTGTTTATCGGGACAGGCCTATGTGCAAAGAAGCACCTGGGTTGTAAGAAGCCCGTAGGAATAAGCAGTGGGGTCGCTCACGTTTCGTGATATTAACCGAGTGGCAGTTCCTCTTTAGGAGAAGCTTTGAGTCACTGTGGAGGTCCAAAATGAAGCTTTTTTGTACACAGCAGTGCAGAGGAATGTAAAAGAACCAGCTGAGCCATAAAGACTGAGATCTTCTTGCATGATTGGCTCTGAGCTGAAACTGTCTTGGATCAGCTGCTGCCATTTGTTCTTCAACATCTGTTGTTTTGTTACAAATGAATCGGATTTAGAGTAAAATCTTCAAATTTCTCTGAAAGTTGGGTTTGGTGTTTTCGACGTGTGCATAAAAGCAAATCATACCGGCCGATGACCGTGGATTAAACTGACCTCGATCCAAGTTCTGCGCTATTAGACAACCCAACACCGCCTCAGTCTTGTATGAGATATCGTCATCTTAGCTGCATTTTGTTTGCCGGGAGCGGCTCGGAGTGGCTGGGGAAAAGTAATGAAACGTGACGGATGATGATCTTTCTTGAAACAGGGCATTAGGCAGCGTGGCCAGCGGAGCTCGTGATCCATCAGAGGAGCGATGCTCCAGACAACGGCTGTAATGTTTAAACCGCCTGAAAGGGAGAAGCGGTCCTTTCCATTTAGCCGTTCCAGTAAAACATTATGCAACCTCCTGTTGTTAAGTTCAAATACATTTACTTTGTGGGTACATTACTGAATAAATCTTATCTGCTTCTCCCAGTGAGTGAGTAGGTGGACGTTCAACGTGGTGTGGTATTTAAAGAACAGCATCGTTTTTCTAATCATAAGCCCCGTCGGGATAATTCACCACTTTCTTCTGGGTTGTCTGTCGTGCCGATTTTTTTTTTCTCAATTAAGGAAAGCTGAAATCTGTTACAGCAAACTTAATCCCTTGTTCCTTGTAATTTTCTAATATGAATCACGTTTTAAATGTATTTACAGTCGAGCTACATGAAAAGTCAGATAACATTTGGTTTGGTTCAGCAGTGTCTCATTTGTCTGATGTTGAAGAAAATGAACTTTTCTCAGGATGTCCAATGAAATCCTCCCAGAGTGAAGCTTTAACGCCAGGTGTAAAAACACAAGACGGTTACCGGTTGTAATCCAACATTGCGAAGCTGCTTCTTTAACACAAATACATTAGTTCCTCGCTACTTTGCGGTTCGCTTATCTCGGACTCGCTCTATCGCGGTTTTTCAAAATAAGACTGGACATGACATACAATTGGCTGATTGATGGACGAGCCGCACGATCGGCACCTCCTGCACCTTTGTGCAGCCCAATGCAGGATAAACTTTCTCCTGCAGCTGATCTCCATGCAGAGAGGAGAAGTGGGCGTGGCCAAGAACCCTTGCAGGTGGCTGAGAGCAGCTCAGGCAATATATATATATATATATATATATATATATATATATATATATATACTAAAATAAACTACTACTTTCTACTTGTACTACTATTCCTACTTCGTGGTTTTTCACTTATCGTGGGGCTTCAGGGTACGGATCCCCTGCAATAAACGAGGAACTACTCTATTTCTTTTTATGGCTATAAAATAGTTTTTTTTTTAAACAAAGTAATCAAATGTCACGTAACACCAAGTAAAACAGGGAAATAAAAGCAATTATAAAACTAATTAAAAACTACTTTCCTTAGCAGGACTGACAGTTTTAAGGACGCAAATAAACAAAACAAGAAAATCCTTCGTGTATCAAAAGATTCAAGCAAACAGTGTTTGAAATCTGAGGATTCAAATACTATACAGATGATTAGAACATAAATATTCATAACTTTATACTGGCATCATGTTTAAAAACAAGATGAAGACTTCATGTACAAAGTAAAATTCTAGAAAAATGGTAAAATAAACCAATAATCTACAAGTATCAAATAGTGATCTGTGAAGTGGAAGTTAGAGCTTAGACCCAATCAGCTTGATCAGAAGCAGATAAAGAAAATTAAAACTTTCACTGACCATACACTGAATCTAGCGCTGTGTTTTGCTTGCGAGTGGTCGCCAACACATCTGGAGAGAAGAAAAAACAGTCATTGGTTCATTTTTGTTGCAAAATGAACATATAAAACCACTTTGTGGACAAAAGCTTGATTGACACAAAGTACCGTATTTTTTGGACTATACTAACCAAAAGAAAAGTAGATAAATCAAACTTTATTCAACTCATTCACAATAACCACATAAATTTGGTTTGAGGTCAGTAAGCACAACCAGAATTAATACATAAGGCGCACTGGATTGTAAGGCTCACAGTCCATTTATGAGAAAATTAAAGGATTTTAAGTGCACCCTTATAGTCTGAAAAATACGGTATTAAAACAGAGATTGCAAACTTGATGGACAATCTTCACTTCAGGCTCCTTGAGCATCATCTGAAATGCTTTTCTAGTGTAGCTGAATAATAATAAGGCTGTTCCAGCCAAACCACATGCTGCTATAAACCCCTGAAAATATAGAGAATCAGTAAAAGGTGCGCGTCTCACCGTGGCAGGTATCAGGATGCTGATGGTAGCCGTTCTCCACATCCTGTTCAAACCCGCCTCTGAAGATTAACAAACACACAAACACACAGCAACAAAGAACGCCGTCAGTAAATTTGCATCAATCCATTTCACTGAATGTCCTTCACTAACAAAGCACCTCTTTCCAAAATTGATTTTGCTCGTGGGGACTGTTTGGAGATGGGGAGACAAGGGCACTGTTCCAGAATTGAATTTGTTTTGTGTCTGGTCAAGGTCAGCGTGTCTCCATTGTTGGGACAAAGTAGAGCCAAGATCTAAGAGCAAAACACACCTTTAAATCTCCTCAAGGTTGTGCAGCGTCACGTCTGGATCTCTTAGCAGAGTGCAGAAGTTTGTTTGTGAGAAGTTGGAATGTACTTGCACCACTCCTCGTTTGTTCTCCAGATAGTCATTTCCTGCCTTTTGTGGCTGCGATGCGTTCGGTGTAACAAGGCTACCGCTGGTGAAATTGGTACCTACAGTTTGCTGCTCTGCAATGAGCGTCTCGGTGTGCGATTGTGTGTCGGTGAAAAATCGTCTCGAGGGAAGTGTGTTGATTCCGAGTGTCTGACACAAAAACCTGTCATTTTCCAGTGATATTTATGAAGACGTTTTATTCCCCGAACCTTCTGCTGCTTAATGGCATGACGTATGCTGCCGAACAGCTTTCAAAGGAAAACAAGAAACAAGAAAAATAAAATGGAATAAAAACAGATGGTAACAACGATTGTGTGAAGTTGCAACAGAACACGACGCTGTAAATTGTTTTGCCAACACCATAATGTTTATTAGACATTCAGAATGTTTCTTCAAATGTTTTTTTTTTATCTGAGCTACTGTTTCAATGAAAGAGCACAGAAATGCTCCATCATGTGGAATAACTCAAATTCCTGCCATTTTCAACTTGCGTGCCTGTGATCCAAACCCGTCTAATTCAACTCCTGAATCACTTCAAACTGAACTGAAACTTGATCCGACAGCCACGATTGTGTGCTGCGCTGATTAAAGCAGGCCTGCGACTTCACCTTGGCGTCAGGTAGAAACCAACGGCTCAACCTGACGCGTCCGCTCGATGGCTGAGTAATGCGATCGACTCGAGCGCCTTGAGCTGCACAGAGTTTCCCCTCCGATGTCAACAATCCTCCCACATGTTGCAGCGAACCAAATTAAAATAGACACCAACTCATAAACCGCACAAGCTCAAGGGTAACGAACCAGGATGCACTTTGTCCAAGCATCCATGCACACCCACTCCCCAACAAACCAATTAGTTCACTATATAACTTAAACACAAAACTGCATCTCACATGGATTTTATGGAAACGAAGACTTCCACCATTTACCAATAGTTAGCAATGCTACATAACAAAAACAAAAAAAAAAACAGACTGTAGTGCACACAGTAAAATATTGGAAGTTGGAGTGGGAAACATTTGAACAACCAAAACCAGCAGAAATGGTATTGATGCAGAATAAAAAAACAAAAACAAACAAAAAAATAAGTAGCACTGTACACCGGTGTCACCGGTGTCCCCTGTGAATGTTTGTAGTTTTGCAGATGAATGTTTTTCTGGACTGGAACTGAACACAGAATGTAAACCTAATGCAAAATACTTAAGTGGGCAGGAGTTACACTGTGGAGATTACAGGTAGTATTATTTTTTTTATCTTTGCTTGTTTGAGGTGGCTCAGAGTAACGGATCCTGGCGAGTGGAGGGAGCAATTTTATCCATAACCAGGTGCGCTGGTGGAGCCGGGTGGGGAGGGGGTGAGGTGGAGCAAAGGTCACCATAGATTTAACTCAGGCCACCCCAATCGTTAGAGGAAACTATACTTTAAAGCAATACAAAAACTACAATGCAGAGTTTCCTCAAATTATAGGCGTGGCTGGTTTACATATATGGCAGTGGCCATCTTGGATTTTGATGTGGCAACCCGATTTTTGAAAGTGACTTATTTTACATCTAGATCCAGCCACACACCACAATAGAAGTTGGAACCTCACTTATTTTTCCAAGTTATTGCACTGTTAGTTATCTTAGTCAGCTTACAAGAAGGTCGAACAGAGGGTATTTCCAATTTCTTTTGTCAGCCGCCCAACCACGGCGCCCTTCCGGTTCTTTTTGTTCTCAGGTGGAGAGGAAACTCACACGAACTCAATAAAATCAAGAGAGGTAAATTATTTTTACCATTTTATGTCGATGAGGCAGGAAAAATGATAGGCTCAGCGCTGAGGCATTCGTCCGACACGTCGCAACCCGGAACCGGAAGCCCCGTGCAAAAGAATGCCCCAGATTATGTTGGCCCTTGGCTCCACCTTCAAATCTGGGTGGGCACAGCCTGTAAGAGTGTATCAGTGGGGTGACAATGTGTGACCTCACCGGTCTTATCTGTTTCTGATGGTGGATAATAGGGTGATGTACAAATCTTAGTGTTGGAAGTAAGCAAACAAAAATCACTCCATGGGTGTTGACCCTGGGATCGCTCATTGTGAGCAGCTGAAACTGGTATGATCTGTTCCAAACCAGGTTATGAGTCAGAGTAGACCAGACCGGGTCTCCAGCAAGGTTAAACTTCTAAAAAACTCTCTTTGCTCCACAACAGGGGACAAAAAGGACGGGTCTTTGCAGCTCCTCGAGATCCTAATTGAGGCCAAATAGATTTTAAAACATGGGTTTCAATTTTTGCCTTCATGAAATGTACTAATTGCAAAGTTACGATGAGATGGAGTAGGGGGCCGAGATGGGGACGAGGCAGCACAGCAGACTCAGGACCTGAAAGTCCCAGGCTCGATCCCCAGTCATTGCACATCTCGTGGTGTCTCTGAGCAGCACACCCTATCCCCAACTGCTCCCCAGGCACCCTCATTAGTTACCCACTGCACCACCCGGTGGTGGATGGGTTAAATGCAGAGAGCCAATTTCACCATTGTATGGGAACATACAATGATGACAACACATAAACATTATTATTGTTATTATTATGAAACAAAGAAAATCTGCACAACATTTTTCCTCACACTGATGTTTAATGGGTCCTTAAATTAAAAATTCAGAAGGACAAATTTGTAACTGGAAAGCAACTACAAGTTAAACAGAAACAGCTAAAATTACTGAAATTAAATCAACAAGGACAACAAACATGGAAAATATGGAATGAAAAGTTTGACAATTAGTGTTAAACTTACTGGTCCAGCAAAAATTTCATAAAAGCAACGTGTTTGAAAACAAGGCTGTGTTTTAATGGCGCTCCGCCACCCTGCTCGACTCCAACATACGCAGACTCTCCCACTGGTACATTTTCATCTTTAAATCACTTCTTGGTCTGCTGCCTTCATACATCTCCTCCTGTGTGAGTGCAGCTACAGCGTGCGCTCTCAGGACATTATTACCTGCAGTGTCCCCTCAGTGCAGACTGAACTAGGCAAAAGGGCCTTCTCCTACTCTGCTCTGGTTTCCTTGAATATCTTGCAAAAAGATCTGAAGCTCTTCACCTTGACCTCTCTAAGTGGCTTTAAGAATCTGTTGGACTCCTGGCAAAAACCAATGCAGACATGTTCCTGTTTTTAGTTTTCAACATTTGCCTTATAACCTAGCTGTTTTTGCTACTTTTTTTGGCCATCTTATTTTAATTTGTCAAAAAGAAAATCTGTATGCCTCTTTTATAATTGTCTATCGTTGTCCACTGTTGTCATCACTCTTTGTTGAAATCAGGTCTCTCTTGTAAATGAGTCCTCGAGGCTCAATGGGATTAACATGTCTCAATAAAGGTTGAATGAATTAATTTGTTTACCTACACAGACTACAACCGGCCTAATGTAAACCAGTCATGTGACTCTTGATTCTTTGTGGTTTTCAGCAGTGCTTCATTAACATGGAGTGTGGACTTGCACATTAATATATCTGTAAAACTAAATATGTACAGTATATATATATATATATATATATATATATATATATATATATATATATACATACACATATATACATATATATACACACACACACACACACACACACACATATATACAGTAAACTATAACTATTCAAATATATACAGTAAACTACAGCTATATACAGTAAACACTTTCAAACGTCACCATTTGACAGAAGAGTCTTTTTAATGTGTATTTTCATACTTTGCAATGATTACCTTTAAATTAGTTCTGGTTACCGACTCTTGTAGCTATGGGTTCCAGTGGCAGAGCTGAAGCACAGCAGAGAGGGATGAGGAGCAACCTGAAATTGTACTTTCTTCTTTTTAGCATGCATCTTTTTGGTTCCTGTCGTATAGCGAGCCCGGTTGTATTTTTACTGCACAGCAGTGATCCTGACACCACCGTTCAAGTATTACCAGAACTGGTCCACCGTGAAAAAACAAACCAGCTTGAACACAATCCTTCCACTTGGTGCGTTAGTTTACCTGTTAGCCCATTACATTCTGACTGAAAGTAAAGTGTTGCACTCAGCTGTGCTATATTGATTTCATTCAGTGAGAGAAAACACTTCTGGGAGGCTGGCCCTTATTTTAATGAATACAGTATTGTATACAACAAGCTGCACCAGTTCATCCTTGTAAGGTGGACATGTGTAAAGTATTAACATCAATACGGTCCACAAACAAGATCAGATACAGGCCTAAAAAACCTGAACCTGTCACCATGTCAACATAATGTCTGTGACAAAATCTAAAAAGCACAAAACATCCAGAACTTGAAATGTCTGCCTTCTAGAAATGATGTCAGCAAGATTATAATTCCAATTATTGCATTAAAATCGTCAATGCGATAACTTTCTGAAACATTGTCCAAGTGTTAGGAGCTTTGATCAGAATTTAGCAACATGAGCTACATCTGCTTCTGCTGTGTGTCTGTTGCAACGTGTGATAACCAAAGTAAATACAGCCTTATCTTTAAAGATGATTCCACCTCCACCGAGGTGCTGAGCCGCTTTCCCCTTCCAGGATCTGGTTCCATTTTCTTGTCTGAGGTTTGGCGTTCTGCTTCGGTGACACTGACTTTGTCAAATGCATTATGGAAGAC